GCGAATTAATTTTACAATATAATGACCAAATCAACCTAACAATATATATCTTTCTTCCTGATGTATTGTTAATCCACTGTACTGAATCAATTAATGGACATAGATTATACAATCTATATTACAGCTGACAATGGCACACAAAGATGTACTAAGAATGTATAAATAAAAATGAAGTGACTAATGAATATGACATTAGTTTATGTAATGTTCATATACTTCTTGGTTTGTAAGTTTTCTGCAGATTGACATGATTTCACTCCCTCAATAGACTGCAAATGCCTGATTCAATGGGGACTATAATTAGTTATAACCATCATGTATAACCAAAATAGAAAGCACTTCAAAATTATCTAAAGCTCTCTCATCCAATGTCATATGGAATTGTGCAAGTCAATATTCTAATACGTTCTTGAGTGCCTTAAATTAAAATACAGTATGAAAATGAGAGAAAACTCTAGGTGACATTTCTTCTTTTTTTACTGTGTATATTTATGAGGTACAAGGTGATGGTTTGATATATGTATACATTGTGGAATGATTAAAATCAAGATAATTAACATATCCATCGCCTCACATACTTGCTATTTTTGTTGTAAGAACATTTAAAATCTACTCTCAGCAATTTTCAAGTATACAGGACATTATTATTAACTATAGTCACCATGCAGTAAAATAGATCTCCAGAACCTTTTCCTTCGATCTAACTTTAGGTGGTATTTCTCATGAGAGATAGCAGGCACCTAAACACATAGGCATCTTTCCAACATAACCAATGTAAGACAGATTCATTTTTATTTGGAAGCTTTACTGATTATTGACTTACACAAGCAAAGGAACTATTAATAATAAGATTTCTTTAATTATTTAAAGTAATACAATAAAGTTTCCTTTTTCTCTTTTAACATGTATTTTTGCAATGAAAAAATGGCTAAACTCACATTTTCCATTGTAATATCGTTTGAGGCATTCATCAGATTCACACTTTTGTCAACAGCTACGATCCCAACTATTGAGTCGGGCTGTGTCACCGAAATCCTAAGAGAGACTTTCTCAGATGGTTCAGCATTAGCTTTACTCCAAAATAACTTTATCTAAGAAAGAAAGAAAGCAGGATTGACTTATTTCACTTTTTTAAAACATTATTTATATGTCTTACCAACAGTAGATCAATGAGACAAAACCTAGCAAACAATCTACATTTGCCTTTGCTCAGGGATAATTCTGAAACCATACATGACCCTTCTCTAGGCAAAGGAATTAAAAAACTACTCCCACAGTATTTGCAAGTCATGGAATGTCTCACAGTGGTATAAATTTGAATTACTCTTCAATTCTCTACTTTTCCTCTTCCCTTTCTCCATCTCCGACCCCTCAGCCCCCAGCTAGTGCTGAACAGAAGACAGCAGTGTCTACCATACCTGGAGAAGGCCAGCATCCAAGAGGAGGAGCACAAAAAAAGAAAGAAACTGCAGATGCCTACATATTGGCAACATGGACTTAGGAGTGAATACAAGGAGAGCTCCCTGGAGGACTCACAGATCTACTTGGGCCGGAGGTGAGGGAGGGATCTTTCCAGAGCCAGAAGAAGGTGATCAGACCAAACACTAGTCGGACCTCTATGCTCTGTGTCTCCATGGCTACCTGCACTTCCTCTGTCATTACACTCATCAAAGCACTGTCCTACTAACACTTCCTAAAGAATATCAATCATCTCATCACTGCTGAATCAAATGGCTTTGTCGTGAGGCCCCTTCCTACTGGGAGTTTTCATTTCACTAGCTGCAACTCAACATTCCACTGCGCCAGTGATTGTACTGCACCCCCAAGAGGGCCTTCTCCTCACCTCGATTGAACTTCAGACAGGCTTCTTCCTGACTATAAGCCCCTGACCTCCCTTTTCTTAGAGCATTTACTTTAGAAAATTTGCAACTGTAAATTCTTTCTCTGCCCCTTTGAAATGTAAATCTCCCAGCCAGTTGCCAGTTTTACAACCCAGAGCTGGGCTTTCATTTATCTATTTCATTAGCTGGAAACTAACCCAGGACAAATTTTCAACCCATAGCATCTCAAGTAGCCCACTTCCTCCCATACCCTTCATTTCACTCTCACACCAATATCAACGCCACATGAATTCTATGTTGCCACTGGACTTTTCTGGAATATCGCCAAAGCAATATTTACTCAACCCTTTGAAAAATCCTGAAATGGCTTCATGTTAAAGTCCTACAGCCAGGAACATCTTACAAATAAGACCCTCAGTGCCCAGTGATTCCACAGGAAAAAATACTTACATAGTACTAAATATGAAGAGGTTTAACTATAATTCTAGAAATGAATAGTATAAATTTCTAACCAATTTCATTTAATGATACTTTTATAAAGAAATACTATATTTCTCAGACTTCATTAATATGAGGTTTTCTTTTAAACATCATTTCCTTAAATCTTACCTTATTTTCAAAAACAAGCTGAACAGGAATTTTTAGAACATCATTTATAATTTCCCCATTATCTTCAACATAATACACAATTATACAGGCTTTTGGAGCCCAAGAATTTTCTGGTGTTAAAGAGAAGGTTGTTGAATTTTGTTTGCCCACAGCCACCAACTGTCCCCTGGATACTACCTGAAAAGAACAAACAAGTTAAATTTTTTGTTAAAACTAATCGGATCTCAACTGAAGCTATGTTTATCATAATTTTAAGCATACA